AAAGAACCAAGCAAACATTGAAGAAACGATGAGGATATGAGCAAGAGGGTGCCTAATAACTTATGTCAAATGCTTCGAGCCAGCTAACAATTTTAAACACCTACTTGTCTATCTGAAACACAACAACAATACAACAATAACATCAACGACAACTACAACTACTACTACAACCTAACAACAATAACATCATTAACAACAACAAAAACACCACAACAACAACAATAACAATAACATCAACAACAACAACAACAATAACAACTAAAACAACAACAAAAAACACCAACAAAACGAATGTTTGCGCAAAATGCCCACAAAAACAATTTCAAATATACAATCTGATCGATTAAATACACGAAAACGAAAATCGACAAAAATAACATCCAGATAAACATGATGTGCATTCAAAATCTCATAAGACATCAATAATTAGCAAAGTAGTAATGTTAAATTTAATATTAACAAAAACAACAACAACAACATCAACAACAACAACATCAACAACAACATCAGCAGCAACAACAACAACATCAGCAATAACAATAACAACAACATCAACAAAAACAACATCAGCAGCAACAACAACAATAACAACAAAAACAACATAGCAACAACATCAACATGAACAACAGCAACAAAAACAGCAAAAACAACATCAGCAACAACAACAACAAAAACAAAATCAGCAGCAACAACAACAATAACAACAAAAACAACATAGCAACAACATCAACAACAACAGCAAAAACAACAACATCAGCAACAACAACAATAAAAACAGCAAAAACAACATCAGCAACAACAACAACATCAACAACATCAACAACAACAAAAACAACATCAGCAATAACAACAACAAAAACAACAACAACAAAAACAACATCAGCAACAACAACATCAGCAATAACAACAACAAAAACAACAAAAACAACAACAAAAACAACATCAGCAACAACAACATCAGCATTAACAACAACAAAAACAACAACAACACCACCAGCGCCGCGTAACGAACGATAACGATATTCCTCTTCTTGTTCTCTTCCTAATTGTTTTATTTAAAATACGCTTAAAAGCAAGTGACGCCGACTTTGTATGCGTGTGCGTGTGCGTGCGTGCGTGTGTGCAAGCGTATGTTTGTTTGTATGTGTGTTTGTTTATATGTATGTATGTATGTATGTATGAATGTATGTATGTATGTATGTATGTATGTATGTATGTATATATGTATGTATGTATATATGTATGTGTGTATGTATGTATGTATGTATATATGTATGTATGTATATATGTATGTATGTATGTATGTATGTATGTATGTATGTATGTATGTATGTATGTATGTATGTATGTATGTATGTATGTATGTATGTATGTATGTATGTATGTATGTATGTATGTATGTATGTATGTATGTATGTATGTATGTATGTATGTATGTTAAATACAAATTAAAATATACAAAAACAAAGACCAACCGTAATACAGAATGGCGGTAAATGCGCATACAAGAGGCAGGCGCAATACAAGGCAAGAGAGCAAATACGGAAGAACAAGGGTACTCGTTATTATTGATAAGGATCTTCTGGGCCTGCACGCCATGATGGAGTGCCTCTCAAACATGATTTTCACGTACGATGTTGTTGTTGTTGTTCTTCTTCTTCTTCTTTTTCTTCTTCTTCTTGTTGGTGTGGTTGTTGTTGTTTAATGTTGTTTGGGTTGTCTTTGTCGCTGATCTTTGATGTTGTTGGTGCTGTTTTTGTTTTTGTTCTTTTGTTATTGTTTTTTGTTGTTGTCTTCTGTTGTTGGTGCTGTCTTTGTTGTTGTGGTGGTTAATAGTATATGATGTTGGTGTTTTGAATTTTCGCTGTTGCTATTGTCGATGTAGTTGTCTTTGTACATGTTGTTGATGTTCGACCTGTCAAATTTGTTGCCGTCTTTTTGTCTTCGATGCTGCTGTTGTTGTTTTTTTGTTGCTGATGTCATTGATGTTGGCAATGTTTTACTAAATAGTTGTTGCTCTTGTTGTAGTTGTTAATGTTTTACTAGATAATAGTTGATGTTGTTGTTATTAATGTTTTATTAAGTAGTAGTAGTAGTTGTTGTTGTTGCGGATAAATTGTTTGTTGTTGGTCAGCTATGTTAGATGTTGATGTTTTTTTTATTTGTTGTTGTTGCCATTGTTGTTTTCAAATTTAAGTATTTATAATTGATGGCAATGTTAATGTTGTAATATAATTATTTAACAATACCCAATGTAATACTTGATGTAATGTTTAATGTTATACTCGGGCAAACAGATTGTTGATGAGATGTTAATCATATTAACGTCATGTTGATGTCATTTTTGATGTAATGTATCATTGTGGCTGTTAATCATGCTGATAACAAATTTATTTGGATGTTGTTGTTGTTGTTGTTGGTATTATTCTATCGATTTTTTACTTCAATGTAGATTTTGTGATAGATAATGATGACGAGGAGGAGGAGGAGGATGTTGTTGTTGTTGTTGTTGCAATATAAAAATTGTTGATTATTATGTGGTTGTTTATATTGATAATGTCGTTGTTGGTGTTAATGTTGTTGTTATTTTTGTTTGTATTGTTTTTTTTTTGTTTTGTTTGTATTTTTTTGTATTAATGATATTGCTGCAGTCTAGATTAATGTTGTTGTTATTATTGTTACGAATTATCTAGTATATCGTTAGTTTTTTTAGTGTTGTTGTAACTATTTCGTTGTGTTGTGTTGGGATGAAGTTTTGGTCGCAAGGCCAAGTTTAGACTTAGTGTGGCTCTTCGTTATTTAAGATTTATGGTCTTCATGAGCTTGATAATAGGATTTTTAGGCATCTACAACGTTAAATTTACTTTTTTTAAAAGTTATTTTTAATTTCAATTCATCAGAAAATCATTTTTAAAAGTAAATTCTTAAAATCGAGAATATTTTTTACTCTGCAGTAATTAAACGCTCGTTGTTGAATTTTTGAAAAATATTAAAACGAAGTGATTACGTACGAAAATAATTAACTAATATATTTCCCCCTTAACTCTGGTCAGACGCAAACATTTTATGACAATGGACTTTTTCCAGAGCAATTTTTTATCATCGTGCTACGAAATTATCCCAAAACTGCTCTACATGCCGGTCGGATACAATTGCTAAACATTACTCTCTGGATGATAAGGCTTGACTATGTTTGACATATTGATAGAAGTGTATGATTTTTTCAACGAGACTCATCATCATGCCCACATCTTCAGGATCTGCCTGCCACAGAGCAATAATTTGTCTACAAATTTCTTTTTCTGTAGTTTTCTGTTTTGTTGAAAATTAAGTTTGTTTGTTAAAAATGAAACTCTCCTTACAATGAGTTGGCTGGGGCATCCACAATAAGACGAATGTGTTTAAGACTGGACTTGTTCCTTGGCTCAGGTTATCTAGAAAATAACTTCCCTTAATGTTAGTATCCACTATTTTATATTTATGCCATGTAGTCAACATCAAACTATTTTTTGTTTTTTATTTCAAAATGATAAAAACTTCTCTAAAAGATTCAACAAAACCCAAAATCGAAACATTAAATTTTTACATGCATCTAAACTGATTTGGAAATTTCGGACTGTTACAGCAAAATCTTCAAAAAAACTTCATGATGCGCAGATATAACATGGAGGAAGAACATGGATTCAAATTCCTCAGATCCATTAAAATGTTTAGGATCTTTTCTGAAACGACAATTGTTTCTAAGCCGGATCAACTATAAAAACCGCTGAGCTGATAGTCAAATAATTTGATGAGACAATAATGAAATATTATTAAAAATTACCAACATTTGTGAACCACATTTAAACAAAACTATTTTATTTTAATAAGAACATGCGACAAAATGTTTATTGAAGCATTTGGGAAGAACTCGATTTGGTACTTTTTGAGGTGTCACAAAGAGAGATGGGGCCCTAAACAACAGCCTGTTGTCTAAATTGGATGTCAATTCAGCTCTGTTTGGTTGGTTTTAACTACGCTGTGCTATTTGAGGGCGATGATATTGTTGAAATATTGAAGAAGTTGTTGTTCTTGATATATTGATGATGTTGATACATAGATAATAATGTTTTTGATATACTGAAGTTGATGATGATAAAGTTTCGGATACATTGATGAAGGTTGTCTTTAAGATGTTTTTGTTGGTGGTAATGGTGGCGTACAGTATATTGATGATGCGTAGTAAATAATGGTTTTGATTTTGCTGTAACTATTTTTGTTGTTGTTGCAGTTGATGTTGTTGTTGTTGTTGTTGCTACTGTTGTTGTTGTTAATGTTGTTGTTGCTGTTGTTGTTGTTGGTGGTAGTGTTAATGTTATTGTAGTTGATGTTGTTGTTGTTGGCGGTGTTAATGTTGTTGTTGCTGATGTTGCTGTTGTTTGGGGTGTTAATGTTGTTGTTGCTGATGTTGCTGTTGTTGGGGGTGTTAATGTTGTTGTTGCTGATGTTGTTGTTGGTTTTACAGTTGATGGCGTTGATGCTGAGTTGAGGATGTTCTAATAATATTTAAATTTTGTCGTTCAATGTCATTTGCACGTTCATCATACTTTTAGGGGCCCTAGATGATATAATGCAGTTGAAACATTTTATCTCGTCATTACTATTTATATTTTGATGGTTATTGTTTGATTGTTATATTGTTCATTTTGTTTTACAAGTTAGTAATTTTACTTTTGTAATTTTAGTTATGGATGATGTTGTCCTGCCATCTAGCGCTCGATGTCTTCTTTGATTAGAAAGAGAGAGGAATAGTTTTACTGGATTTGAAATATGTCATTGTCTCGTAACGCACACTCGCCATTTCTGAACTTTTTATATTTATCCTTTTTTTATATTTTCCAAAGTTTATCGATTCAAAATTGATACTGAAATATGCATTGCAAACTTAAGTAGGAGTCAGTCGTTACCAACCGAATTACGTATAAGCTTATGGAGTAAGTATGTTAATAAAATATATTTTTAGAGAACACACATTTGAATGAAAATAAGGACAAACAATTATTGGGAACAAACATAAGTATAATAAAACATGTTTGTGATGAATTTAAACGAATTTAAACTGCAAAAAATATGAAAAATAATTGAATATTCTAATAGGATAATGTTGTATTTCTTACATGTTCATATAAATAATCCACTACACTCCTTCGTATGGGTACAGTTTTTAAACAACTTTGCTAATGAGACATAAAATTAATAAACAAATAAGGTGTAATCACAAATATATTTAATGGAAAATGATAAAAAGTAAGACTATAATAATTATAAATAATAATATAATAATAATAATAAAACTATATCAACCATAAATATAAATATACATGTACGAAAACACTGATTAAAAAAATAAAAAGACAAAAAGCCGAGGAAAAAGAATAATAGAAATATGGAGGAACAGACGTGTGATGATGAAAGCGATGATATATTGTTTGTGGGACACTCAATTGCGCGCAAGAAAATAAAAAATCATACATACTCGCATACACACGCACACACGCGCACACACAAATACGTACGTACGTACCATGCACACGCACACACTTACGCACACATGCACACAAACATATTTAAATTTACATACACACATATATATATATATATATATATATACATATATACATATATATATATATATATATATATATATACGTACACATACTTAATGCAGATCCACGTACATATATACAAGGATACCTGGTATATAAACACAATACTAAAACATACACAATTCGTTCACAAGGCATATAAATATACAATTATACATACAAACACAAAACACAAACAAACCTAAGTAAAAATTCTCCTTAATTAACTAAAATCTTATTCTAAAAAGTTGCTACCAGAAGTTCAAAGTTGAACAATGAAGGATAAACAATGTAAACATGATAACTGTGAGTGCATTTTAACTCTCTGCTCGATTAGGATTCTTTATGCAATCGAACCAGGTTACCGCGGGCGACTCATGACGCTTTTACCGTTAAAGCCATTTTCTTAAAACATTTCAAACGCATATGCACTCATACATACACCTACAAACATACACATATTAAAATATCAACTGACACCGATGAAAAGTCTCAAACTGGTGAATGGTGGAATCGGCCAATAATTACTTAGAGGAGGTCTGTACAAAGAACTGAAATTTTGAGAACATTCAGTGTTTTTTTTTTAGAAATAACTTAATATTGATTAGAACCAATTTTTAAAAACTGGAATGAAACATTACTTCAAATGGAACAGTTGACATTGTTAGCTTATCGACAAACATTTGTACACACGCAACATGTTTCGATACACATATGTGTATATATATACATACATATTTGTATGTATATACATGTGTATGTGTGTGTGTAGGAGTGCGTGTATGTGTGCGTGTATGTGTGCGTGTATGTGTGCGTGCGTGCATGCTCGTATTTCTGTAAGTTCAGATGCTTATTTGAGCGCATATATATGCAAACTTCCGTGACAAATGACATTGCCAGCGTAAAGGTTGTTTGATTTGCCAGAGGAAAAAAATTTATATGAAACATGCCAGCTAAAAACATTAAACAACACAAAGTAACGAAGAAGAAAATACAATTTGCCACCAATAAAAAAGCATAACCTCTGCTTAATGTATTCCAAACATAAGTCACTGGAAAAATGTTTTGCAAAATTTTAATAAAAAGAAATCGTAAATAATACAAAACAAAAAAGAAAAGAAAACAAGTAGAATTGCATACAGAAAGACAACTACAAACAACTAATAATTTGTTTTGGTATCAAGTTGAAACATCAAATAGTATGGAAAGGACTGTGGAAGAATAAGTTCATTTCGTATATGTTCGTACCTTTCCAAGTTTTGGTATGCTACTTTAAAAATATCGAAAGTAGTAGTTAATATAGTAATACAACTTGTAATTAGTACAGTCTTAATTAATTAATTAATCGATTAATTAAATCCTATATATTATTCTTTTTATTTATTATTATTAATTAAGTAAGTAAATAATTAAATATACGAATGAAACTGATAGATTGGCGGAAAGATCGCAGCACTTCCTCCCTCATGTTTATTCCAACGGATCTATTGCATTCCCATTTAACCCGGATCGAATGAAAGGTTTGGGATAAGTAGTAATTGTTCCAGAAGACTTTGTATTATTATTGTTATTATTATTATTATTATTAAAAGCAGTAGTAAGAAAAATTGCATCAAAATAGTAAAAATATAGATTGTGGAAGAGCTATGAATCTAATGTTACTTAATCAATATGTTTTAAATTTTATACAATTTTCTTCTATTGTAACTATATTCTATTGTAAGCCATACACACAAAAGAGAACATATGAATTAAAAAACCTCTACAACACATCCATGCGTCAAACAAAACGCACGAGATGAGCAAGGATCTTCTTGCATTAGAAGCCAGTCACTAGAACAGCGGGGCCAGGCATTTTAACCATTACACAATCATTAAAAGCATTAGAAGTCAGTCACTAGAAGAGAATGGGACTTGTTAACGGATTAACTGCTAACTTTATAGTAGAAATAATAATTCTTAGCAAATGGTAAAATTTAATGTGTGTGTATTTATGTGTGTGTGTGTGTGTGTGTGTGTGTGTGTGTGTGTGGTGCTTACGTGTGCGTACGTAATGTGTGTGAACGTTGTGTGGTGTGTATGGTAGAGCTTTTGTTTGCCCGAAAGTTTAATGATAAGTATAGAATAACATGTAAGCGTTTGACAAAGCAGCATTTTAAAGAATGAAAAAAAAAACAAAAGAAAGAACCGTAGTGGTAGTAGAAGTAATAGTAGCTGTAGTAAGAGAAGTAGCAGTAACAGTAAAGTATAGAAGAACATAATTACATTAAAGAACAAGTAACTACACTTAAGAATCTTATCACGATAATTCATAGCACGACCTTTAATATTGGGCCCATAAACATTTATTACATTTCTGATAAAGTTATGCCTCAGTATAAACTCCTATAAGCAGATTACATGCATGTAAATCAATTTTGTTGTGTGTGTGTGTGTGTGTGTGTGTGTGTCATGATAATACGCTATTGTGAATCACACAGTACTTGTATTAATGTATTGAGTTTAAACCTTACGTTAAACGGTTATGTTTGTAGAACATTTATTCTTATTGTTTACACACATGCAGGCAAACACGCGACACAAACACACACATACATGATTGTACACACACATACATGATTGTACACACACACATACATGATTGTACACACACACACACACACATACATGATTGTACACACACATACATGATTGTACACACACATACACTTCTGAACTTCGGTCTCCCTGCTTTTTTGGCAAATAAATAAATAAATACACACACATACATATATAAATACACACACATACAAACACACACATACAAACACGCACACACATATGCATACATATATATACGATTGTATATGCACATGAGCGTTTGCGCGCGTCGCGTGCATTTGAATGCGTAAAAAGGCAATAATAGTAAAGATAAGGATCCAGAGCCAATAATGAGCTGGATAGATAGATGTTACGGTTGTAGGTGGTTGATGATGGTGATGTGATGATGATGTTGATGATGATGTTGTTGTTGATGATGATGTTGTTGTTGATGATGATGATGTTGATGATGTTTTTGATGATGTTGATGATGATGTTGTTCATGATGCTGATGATGTTGTTGTTGATGATGATGTTGATGATGGTGTTGTTGATG